CAAATAAAAATGTAAAATGTTGCCACGGATCTGAGGTTTAAATGATACACATTTCGATTTTTGTGAAGGGACTGAACTCTGCTACTTCAACTTTTTAGCAATGAAACAATGTGATTCAAATGAAATTCAATTACTTATTAGATTTTAGTGCCTAACAAAGCAGTATGATGAACTATTACAGCAGTGATAGACCATACATTATTGAAGACACCTGAATATTTAATCTTCAAAAAGTTCACCCAATTAGAAAAAATAATAAAAGATTACATTACAGAAATGCATAACACACTTACAACATTTGAGTTTTCTATGGATAGTGTGCCGATTCTCACTAGACTGACGTCTTTTTTTAATTTTTTTTAAAATGGCTGTTTGCATGTCAGAGAAAGATGCAAACATTTGAAGTAATGATAGATAAAAAATACACACACCAATGACATTTGAATTGCTAGCCTTTTATCATATTTATACTTTGGTGTTTTGGGTTTTTTTTAGCACAAGAGGATGTTAACTGAAATTTTTGAAATATTTAAGTGGGTCAATGCATTCCCAGGTATGTCTATATTTGGAGTTTTAAATTGTTAAAAAAAAAAAACTAGGGTTGAAATATCTCATTTCATTTTTATCCTTTAATGTATACCAAGCTTGCCCTCTCAGCAGGAAGCACTTTCAATTAGGAAACCTGTAATGAAACTCAGCACAATTAATTGCCCGTTAGTCTCTGAGACTAGATCTATATTACCAGTTATGTTGCTAAATTGTGGGTTTGGAAACTTGCCTTACACAGATTGACTTACAACTCATCAAAGGATGTATTCCAAAGTCCCAGTGATTAGTTCCAGTGATTAATTTAAAACATGAGCCACATTTTTTAGCCTTCTCCTGTTCTCAATCCCAACAGCTGACTAAGTAAGCCCTTGTTTCCACTGAAGTTACAGGAGCATTTCAGCCTGTAGGACAATTCTCCATGTCCTCAAAACACTCTTCTCATTCGGTTTCTTTCCCCTTTGCTCCTTCTCTTCCTGTCTGTTAAATAATCCTTGTTGATGTTCTTCTAGGGTCTCTTCCATTTTTCACACCTTGCATTCTGCAGTGGGTGAGAATCTTACGTATCCAATTTAGAAACATATAAGTACTCGTCACGTACATGCCACAGCAAGGAAAATGAATAGAGAACAAAAAGTATGTAAACAAGGGTCATGTCCTATGGACCATCGATATCTTTGATGTGAAGAAAGCTTGTCAACATAACCTTTCAAGTGGAAGAAATCCTTGCTTCTCTTCTCTGTACTGTTCTTTTGTCGAGTTAAACTTATTGACCAGCAGACTTTGTTCATAGCACATACTGTCTCCAACTCTTCTTGTGTGAACCCACATGTGTGTATTCCTGTGTGTATGCAGATGTATGTGCACAGGAGTGTGTATGTGTGTGTGTGTAGGCCAAAATACAACCCTAACTATGTTCCTTAGGAGTCACCCATCATGTTTTGTGACGTGGAGTTTCTCATTGCCCTGGAGCTGACCATGGAGGCTCTGCTAAGTGGCCAGAAAGTCTCAGGGGCCCAGCTTGTCTCTGCTTCCCCCGTGCTGACAGAACACCCAGATCAGATCGTTTTACACACATGCTAGGGATCTACCCTCATGCTTGTTTGACAAGTGCTTTACTGATGGAGCCAATTTCTAAGCCTCCTTCTCTCTGACACTTCCATATGTAGCTGTATTCCTAAATCTTTGCTGGACCGCTCCTAGTCTTCTTGGAACTTGAAATTCAGTGTGTCACACATTAAACTTTCCAACAAGTTCCTTCACTTCATCCCCAAATCCCTTGTTCACTGTTGAATTCTCAGTCTTAAGTATTGTCACTTGCATTTCCATTTCCCATTTCCAATTTGTCACTTATCCATGCTCTATATTTGATTTTTTTTACATAGTCTGTTATTAGTTCTTGCCAATTTTCCTCAGTGGAGATTTGTGACTCCAAATCCATACACTGCTTTTTAATCTCAGTCACATACCATCACCCACAAGTATAAATACTGATCTTATATCACACATGTTGGTATATGAAACTTAGGGAACATGATAAAAATAATGGAAAATGTCACAGAGAAGTTAGCACAAAGTTGAGTATTCACGGATCCTCTGAAACATTTGTGTAGATAGATATCTAGGAGTCAATTAATATGAAGAAAAAGTCACTCACTTTAAACATCAAACATTTAAAATGTATAATCTAAGGAACAAGTGCTCTCAAATTTCTTTATTTTATCACATTTTTATTTATTTTGTGTTCTTATGTGTATGTATGTGGTCGTGTGTGTGTCATGGCATGCATGTGGAGCTCAAAGGACAACTTGTAGTAGCATGTGCTTTTGTTCCATCTCAGGGGTCAAACTCAGATTGTCAGGCTTGACATCATCCATCAGTACTTTCACTGCTAAGCTATCTTGCCCATCCTAAATGTCTTAGTATTAAATAGAACCCATGTTTCAATGAAAAACTTGAATCACACTATGGCATTACCTCTGAGAGACTTTAAAATTTGGAAAACACAAAATTATGATAGTGGTGTGTCTAGTGCCTCAAGGTTTCTTTTCATGCTGTCAAGCAAACATCACAAGAGCCATGGCTGAGGTATCATTACGTTCAATATCTGTCCTTTAGAGGATTTTGTATGCAGTCAACTTCAATCTGAATATTTAGAGGAAGTTAAGATTTAAAAGAAGAATGTGCAATATAGCTTATCACAACAGAGGTGGAAATGGTAAATAACTTTATCATGAGAAAGGAGTAAAACTTCCAAAGAGTAGATGCAAATGATCATTTGCTGATCTAGGTTTGTGTGTGTGTGTGTGTGTGTGTGAGAGAGAGAGAGAGAGAGAGAGAGAGAGAGAGAGAGAGAGA